GTCTCTCACTGGTCTCTCTATCCGTCTCAGGGTCGCGGGGCGTGGCAGGCGTGGCACTTTCTCGACACCAGAGAGGGTGCGCAGGGGGTGGTCTCTCACTGGTCTCTCTATCCGTCTCAGGGTCGCGGGGCGTGGCAGGCGTGGCACTTTCTCGACACCAGAGAGGGTGCGCAGGGGGTGGTCTCTCACTGGTCTCTCTATCCGTCTCAGGGTCGCGGGGCGTGGCAGGCGTGGCACTTTCTCGACACCAGAGAGGGTGCGCAGGGGGTGGTCTCTCACTGGTCTCTCTATCCGTCTCAGGGTCGCGGGGCGTGGCAGGCGTGGCACTTTCTCGACACCAGAGAGGGTGCGCAGGGGGTGGTCTCTCACTCTATCCGTCTCAGGGTCGCGGGGCGTGGCAGGCGTGGCACTTTCTCGACACCAGAGAGGGTGCGGTGCGCAGGGGGTGGTCTCTCACTTGTCTCTCTATCCGCCGCTGACTACCTACCAAACCACCCCAACCCAACCCGAAGACCCGAATTTCGGGTTGGGGAGGGTATGGGCTCCATATGTGTTTTTTCGATGTTCCCGGACCCCCCCCCCACTAGAAATCGAGGGTAAATCTGAGCCTTCGGGTTGGGTTGGGGTGGTTTGGTGGGTGGTGAGTCGCAGGGTCGCGGGGCGTGGCAGGCGTGGCACTTTCTCGACACCAGAGAGGGCGTGGGTCTCTCTATCCGTCTCAGGGTCGTGGCACAGAGAGGGGGTGGTCTCTCACTGGTCATCCGTCTCAGGGTCGCGGGGCGTGGCAGGCGTGGCACTTTCTCGACGCCAGAGAGGGTGCGCAGTCTCTCACTGGTCTCTCTATCCGTCTCAGGGTCGCGGGGCGTGGCAGGCGTGGCACTTTCTCGACACCAGAGAGGGTGCGCAGGGGGTGGTCTCTCACTGGTCTCTCTATCCGTCTCAGGGTCGCGGGGCGTGGCAGGCGTGGCACTTTCTCGACACCAGAGAGGGTGCGCAGGGGGTGGTCTCTCACTGGTCTCTCTATCCGTCTCAGGGTCGCGGGGCGTGGCAGGCGTGGCACTTTCTCGACACCAGAGAGGGTGCGCAGGGGGTGGTCTCTCACTGGTCTCTCTATCCGTCTCAGGGTCGCGGGGCGTGGCAGGCGTGGCACTTTCTCGACACCAGAGAGGGTGCGCAGGGGGTGGTCTCTCACTGGTCTCTCTATCCGTCTCAGAAGGCGGCACTTTCTCGGCTCTCTCAGATCCGTCTCAGGTCGCGGGGCGTGGTTTCTCGACACCAAAGAGGGTGCGCAGGGGGTGGTCTCTCACTGGTCTCTCTATCCGTCTCAGGGTCGCGGGGCGTGGCAGGCGTGGCACTTTCTCGACACCAGAAAGGGTGCGCAGGGGGTGGTCTCTCACTGTCTCTCTAGGGGGGGCGCAGGCGTTGCACTTCCTCGACACCAGAGGGGTGCGTGCGCAGGTGGTCTCTCACTGGTCTCTCGATCCGTCTCAGGGTCGCGGGGCGTGGCAGGCGTGGCACTTTCTCGGCTGGCGACAGGGGGTGCGCAGGGGGTGGTCCTCACTGGTCTCTCTATCCGTCTCAGGGTCGCGGGGCGTGGCAGGCGTGGCACTTTCTCGACACCAGAGAGGGTGCGCAGGGGGTGGTCTCTCACTGGTCTCTCTATCCGTCTCAGGGTCGCGGGGCGTGGCAGGCGTGGCACTTTCTCGACACCAGAGAGGGTGCGCAGGGGGTGGTCTCTCACTGGTCTCTCTATCCGTCTCAGGGTCGCGGGGCGTGGCAGGCGTGGCACTTTCTCGACACCAGAGAGGGTGCGCAGGGGGTGGTCTCTCACTGGTCTCTCTATCCGTCTCAGGGTCGCGGGGCGTGGCAGGCGTGGCACTTTCTCGACACCAGAGAGGGTGCGCAGAGGGTGTTTCTCATTGGTCTCTCTATCCGTCTCAGGGTCGCGGGGCGTGGCAGGCGTGGCACTTTCTCGACACCAGAGAGGGTGGTCGGGAGGGTCAGGCGTGGCACTTTGGTCGTCTCATATCCGTCTCAGGGTCGCGGGGCGTGGCAGGCGTGGCACTTTCTCGACACCAGAGGGGGTGCGCAGGGGGTGGTCTCTCACTGGTCTCTCTATCTGTCCCAGGGTCGCGGGGCGTGGCAGGCGTGGCATGTTCTCCACTCCACAGGGGGTGCGCAGGGGGTGGTCCGTCACCGCGGATTCTATCCGTCCCAGGGTCGCGGGGCGTGGCAGGCGTGGCATTTTCTCCGCGCCACGGGGGG